TTCTAATGTTTAAAATAATATATATAGAATTACAAAGAAAACTATATTAAAATACATTTATCAAAATATCAATAGTATTTTGTATTGTGGTAATATATGTCCTTTTTCATTAAACTATAAGATAGTGAAGTGAGTCTAGTAACCACCAAAATTCAAAGTAGTGTTAAGAATAAATAACATCTCACAATATCTGCGCAACCTGCAATGTGATATGAAACCATCTATGATGGTAGGAAAGTCATAGGTGGCACTATATTAATGTGGTGTGATGCCTTCAATCTTAACTGCAAGAAATGCTAAATTATAGTTAAGAGGTAATGACAATAATGATACACTTTTTCCTCGATCCAAGTTCTCAATCCAGTCCCTGAATTTGGACCTCTGGACTCCAGGTCAAGTACTTCTGCACTAGGAAGAAAGAGCCTGGGTCCCTGGAGGACCATGTAGGGCAGAGGCACCTCTATTCTTACTGAACTGATTGGACTGTCACCTGAGAAATAAGTAAACCTTTATGATATGAAGCTATTGAGACTTAGAAATGGATTATTTCAAAAGTAAGCCTACCCTGACCGATAAACATAATAGTTCATCTTCCCTGAACTGATGGAATTGATGTAGCTTTGTTTATGAATCTAGTAGGATTTCTGCCATCAAGTCCTTTTGGTCCCACCAATGTATACCCCATTCTAGAGGCCATGATTTATACACTGAGAAGATGACTCATCCAGCTATTCCTGAGGGGATCAGTATCCTGATCCAGACAGCTACTCCACTTACGACTTTCTTAATTGAAAAGGCACTTGGAAACTTTCAGAACTGAGGAGTATCCTGTTTTTGGGGAACAGTCACTTTCAGCATGGCAAATGGAGGACACAGCAGCACACTGCTGCAGTCTGCTAGAGTACATCAGTGACAGCAGATCCCACCCTTCCTGTGGGCTTTGTGAGCCCAGTGGCCTGCTGAGCCCCAAAAGCTCTGCCCAGGTGGCTAAAATTCATGACACAGCAACAGAGCCTTCCTGCTACAGCTTGTGGGCAACACAGGCAGCTTGGTGATGCTCTGCAGGGCAGTACTGAGCTCTAGGAGTGCAGCTGCAAGGAGCTGGAGCTGTTTTAGGGATGTGAAGGAAGCTGAGAAGCAAAGGCATAATTTGGAGACTTTAAAGTACATGATCCTGATGAGTCTGTGTTTATTCTAAGGGGACAATTCATAAATTACGGGCTCCCTGATGTCTTTGGGCCCCTGATCTAAACACATGGGATGTAAGACGAGCCAATGAGGGAAGAGTTTAAATCCCGCCTCCCAGTCCCCAGGGTTCACAAAAAGGAATTCTGCTTGGTATTTTTTATTCAAAGCATATAATGACTTAACAATATTAATGTACAAATCCTCCCACGATGGGTGCTTTCTGCCCATTTTTCAAATGATGAAGCTACACTAACTAAAAAATATCTTCCACTTAAGGGAATTAAAGTCTCAAACTGAAATTACAGGTATCTGAGAGTTCAAAGAGCTGTCTGGAAATAAGTCATGATAGTTGAAAACACTTTGATTCTCCCCAAACCTTTTTGCTGATGGTATTCTTTTATTTGTCAAACTAAATAGCCATTTGGTGAGGAATATTCCTGGTGCTGGGGGAAGAGAGTAAAATGAGCAAAGAAGCTGTTCTCCCGGAACTTGCATCGAGTGGCAAGAGACACAAGTGATAAGAAATGATAACGATTTCAAATATGGTAAAACTTCACTGGGGGTGGGGCTGCCTTTGGGCAGAGAAGGCCTCTAGAAGGCGACTTTTGAGCTGGGACATGATGGTTGAAGGAGACAGCCATTGTAAGGGCTGGAGTTTTCCAGGCAGAAGAAAGAGTTCCTGCAAAAGCCTGAAGGTAGGGAAGAGCCTGACATGCGAGAGGGCCAGAGAGGACAGTGAGTTTATAGGGTAATGAGAGAGGGAGTGATCTGTGCAAGATGTGAGGGAGAGGAAGGAGGGCAAGACTGGGGAGGGTCTTGTGGGTGAAGGTGAGCAATTTGGGTTTTATTCTAGAGTAAAAAAGAAACAATGGAAAAGGTTTGAGCAGGGGAGTGACATTCTATGATTTTAGTTAGAAAAAAAAAATCACTCCGTTTTGGGGAGAGAGCAAGTTCACCAGTGCTGTCCTGTTGCAGGTCAGGGAAGATGGCGGCTTGGAAGGTTTGGGCCGTGAGGATGGAGAGAAGTAGACACATGCAAAACACTGGGGAGGCAGATCCAGCAGTACTTGCTGTTGGGGTGAACATGTGGAATGTTAGAAGTGATGGTACTAAAGATGACTTCTGTAGTTGGGTGAACCATGGTTCTGTTTTGAGTGTTAACTTTGAGAAACCTATTACACACCAATACAAGGGGACAAGACAGACATTGGGTATATGAGTCCGGGACTTAGGGAAGGCTAGGGCTAGAGATACAAATTTGGAGTCAGGAGCTGAAGGATTACTTAAACTTAGGTCTGGATGAGATCATTTAAGGGAAAATGCAGCTAGAGATGGTTATGAGGCCTGGGGACACTGCAGCAGCCAGTATTTCAAATTGGAGATTGAAAAGAAACAGTCAGAGAGAGAGAGAAGTAATCAAGACCATGTGGTATTACCAGCACAAATAGAAGGAAGTGTTTCAAGAAGGAAGATGCGACCAGCTGTGTTAACGAGGACTGGGAAGTGTCTTGTGGATTTGGCATATGGAGGCTGTCAGTGGCCCAGACAAAAGCGGGTTTCATAGCATAATGGGAATGGAAGTCAGATTGTCATGGATTGGAGATTAAGTGGGATTTAAGGAAGTGGAGAGAGTAAATGCCAACTTTTTCAAGAAACTTGGCTGATGTGTGAGCAGTCAAGGGAGGATTAGTAAAGATGAGTGATACTAAACTGAGTCTTTATGCTGATGGGAATGATTGCAAAGACCAGAAGAAGCTGACAGTGTCGTAGGGGGGTTGGGGCTCACCACAGGGAGATCCTGCAGGAGGCAAGAGGAGATCTAAGCATTGGCGCGTACATCCCAGGTGCAAGGGTCACCGTGGATGACAGCAGGACAGTGTCTGCTGTGAGACAAGGGAAACTGGGTGTGGATGTAGATGCAGTTCGTTTGATGATTAAAAAATCGGCATTCCTGTCTGAATGCTTCTAATTTTTATGTGAGATAGGAAGTGGTGTCAAAGCTAAGGGCAAAGAGGCTTGATTGTGTGGGAGCTTTGAGGAGACTAGGTAAGGATGATATAATTGCTTCTGAGACTGGTAAAGGACCAGGCAAGCTATATGCTATTATTTCCATATTTATGAGGAGGGAACAAGAATCCAAAAAGTTATGAGAGTTACTCAGTGTCATTTGATGGTTCCTACCAATTAGTTAGATAAAGGCTTTCATAATCAATATAATAGTATCCCAAAACATACAAAAACAAATTCCCTTTACATCTTAGGAATTTTTTAGAGGTTCAAATGACTGATTGTTTTAGGAAATGACAATCACAGTAGTATTTTTGTGCTATAACAAGTATTCTAAGATTGCTATTCTTATTCCTTGCAATTATATGTCAAGCATTTGTTTTTTTGATTGATAAGTAGGAAAGCTTGGTACTGATTATAGAAAAGTAAATGTCACTAGTATAACTCCTTTTCTTAGTCAGGAGGAAATAGTTAATTTGGAGGTATCAAACCCCCAAAATACAATGAAGCTGACCCATATCCTAAATCCCTTGGAATTAGGATAGCTAGCAGTTGCAATTGTTTGAGTATCAACTCTTCAATTACACCCTCACTTTTCTGGGTCCTTGCTAAGGGCTCCAAAGAAACCTGTTGCCCAAAGAAAAATGATCATCTTTGCTTTTTTCTTTTGCTGAGTTTCCAAGGGGCAGTTGGGGATAGACTAGATGTTTTTATCATGGTAAACTCTTTGAGAGTAGGAACTATGACTTCTTGCCAGACATTCTATTGCAGTGCCTAACAAGCATTTCCCTAAGTGTTTGTTGTGTTGAATCTTGAGAGTTGTGTTTTGGGGCCACATGAGCTACATTTGAGACATCTTTATTTAAGCATTTTGGAACTCACGTAATACTATATGATCTATGTCCAAAGAATGTTTGTCAAAAAGATTATTGTTGTGTAGAATTGAAGATTTTGTAGCATGATTACCACTTGATTACCTTACCGGGCTGTGACTTATCTTTTCAGTGGAGGTCCAAGGCATGCCTGGTGAACACTGAATTATGATGGTTTTCTCTTCACTCTATATAGTACTTTTTTCTTCCAACCTTAAACACCCTAAACTGGACGCTATTAAAGAAGGTTTAAGTTCACTAAAAGAGAGTGAAAAATCTGCTGCAGGAAAAGTGATTGTCTAATTTATACAGATGTAGGTTATTAGCACAAGCAATTTATGCTGGCTATATTCTAGATACATTGTTAGGGAAAGGTGCTGTTGATTTGCAAGGTGGCTGCAATGTGGACTCTGAAACATAATTACATATGGTGGGGAAACTATAAACTGTGTTGGGGAGCTAGTATTCCCAAAACCCCTTCACAGAGGAAAAGCTCTGCTCCTCTTCTGTTTGGCATTTCCTTTGAATAACACATTTCACATTTTTTTATCTTATCTTATTCCAACCTGTCAGAGCTCTGCCCTCATAATTTTCCCACATACAAATATTTGCCATCTGTAAATTTGGGGGAAATACAGATTAAGCTTTGGAAATGCCTATAATTTTCATTCAATTAAACTTTAGGGATTTATCTTAAGAAAATCATTCAAAATGTCAGCAATGGCATATGCATAAAGATATTTACCACACTGATTTTTAGACTAGTGAAAATTAGAAATAATCTTAAATTGGCAATGGAGGCTTAAATTAATTCCATACAATTGAATATTAAGGAACCTTAAAAATAAGTATGAAAAGCTGCTTTGGTGTGAAAAAATAAGTTCCCAGTTGTAGTAAGACAATTGCCTTGATACTTCCTATTTGCTCCTACAGATTCATGCCACTCCCTTTCCCACCTGGCTTAGTAGCCCTGGAAGCTGACCTTTATGCATCAATGGTCCCCTTGCTCCTGGGGTTTCTGGCTGGGTTTGGCCAATGGGAGGCACTGACAGGGAGGAAAGACTGGAAGGCAAGAGGGTATGGATCCTCAGCTTCCTTTCTCACTGGCTGCAGGTAAGCAAAGGCTACATTTCTCCTGTAACAACTAACACTTCTCTGGTACTTCCAGTTTGGGTAACCCCTTGAGTTCTGGAACCCCTCTTTGTACTTGCCCTTTCAGGCTTAGGGTGGTGATGTTTCAGCTCCTGAGGTGCTGCAACCCCCTTCTGATTTCCTAACCCTGTCTACCTTTGTAAAGAGCCTTTTCATTAAACTCTTCTCAGTTACCCCATTTGAGTGTACCACCTGCTTACTGCCCAGACCTTGATGGATACAGGGGAAAAGTAGGTTACAAAAGAGTACGAAAAACATTATCTGTCCTTGGGAGGGATATATAATACAAATAAAAAATGCATTATTTCATGGTGAAAATACTGGGGAGGGTTATCGCATTTGTACATTAATTTTCAAATTAGTTTTACATTACATTTTACATAAACTAATTTTACATTAATTTTCCTATTTTTTATTTTAAAAAGTAATGTTTTTAAAAATGGGAGTCATTTTATAATACCTGACTAAGTTTGGAGAATGAAAGTATACTAGTAGGGTTATCTTGACTTTAATAAAACCTAACGGCTTCTTTCTACATTAGGTGAAGGAATGCCTTGCATTAAACCGTGAAGTCCCTTAAATGGTGGTAAAGTACTTATCAAACTGTCCTACCTATACCCAGTTGAAAGAAATCCTTTGTCTACAGACTACTCACTGTTATACTAAAGGAAAGCAAGCCATGGAAGAGGAGAACAGGAAAAAAATGCTAAATAAATAATGTCCAGATAGTCACATGGGTCCAGCTCACCCATGGAAACCAAACCAAGCCATGCAGCTGGCAGAGTGGCAGCGGCCAAGTCTGAACATGCCTGTCGGTGCTTCCCCCTGCCTTCTTCTTGCAGCTCTCCCAGAAGTTCACACAGCTGGTGCAGCCAAAGTAGAGGGAGGCCACCGTTGGTGGGGAAACACCATGCGCTGGATGGAGAAGTACACATCTGCCTTATTTGACACTCACAACAACCCTAGGAGGAGCTGGGCCGCCGGCAGTTACAAGCAGACTCACAGAATCTCATTATGCCCCAAAGTGAGACTTGGCAGCAGCGTCCAGGCAAGCTCTTTAGAATCACCCAACTTTGGTGCTGTGGGCTATGATGGGGAGAAAGTCCTGGAGATTCTTCACTTTCGCAGCTGCTTCCAGGCTGTCTCCAACACCAGCTGCTTCAGAACTACAGGCTGAGATCTTTTGCCTAGGTTCCTTCATCCTCTCTCCACTTGCTCTTCCCTATTTTTGAGTTCTCTCATACTTGGAATGTGTGGAGTAGTTTTTATTTTCCTGAAAGAACCCAGACTGATACACAGGCCTGACAAGATGAGTGCTCAAGGTCACCTTCAGTTCCCAGAGTGGAAACCTGGCTGGATTTTGAAGTACTATTTAACATGCCTAGGGATAAGTATAATTAGAGCTATATTCCAGAAGGTACATGAACATCACTTTTTCTGTCCAGTTTACCACAAAGCAGCCTGGTGTTAATATCAAGTTGCCTTTTCTGAGGCAATGGAGGAGCTCCTCAGGTATGTTTTATATGGTGATCTGGTATGTGTTTTTGTGTACATGTGTGTACATATGTGCTTTGGGGGGATGGATGGATGCTCCTACATCCAAATGTCTCCAGAGAGGACCAGGGTCTTTGCGGGAAGAAGAGCATCCAATTATTCTGAGCAGGTGAGTTCACTGTATTACACATGCTTCCCCACACTGTTTGGTAGGGACTCCAATGGCTCTTTCAGGACCATGAGGTCCACTCAGACCCCCAGCAGTTTCCAAAAGACTGAGAAGTAAGCAGATGGATTAAAAAAATCAATAACCATTTGGAAACTGGTAGGGGTTCCAGTTCTTTCTTTTATTGGGAAAACAGCCTTATACATGTCCTCTCATCACTTTGAGGCTTTATTTATTTATTTGTGAAACAGTGCAACTGAACAGGATTAATAGTTTTGGATTTGTCAGGTATGTGAAGTTAATGCAAAGTGGTGGTGAATTCAAATGTACACCAAGCATGGATTAAACCTCTCTCACCTATGTGCACTGTTTATAGACGCTGTGGTGATAATAACCAACAACAAAAATATCTTTGTAAATAGAATGATACAGAATATATTCATTCATGTCTTCTTTATGTCAGCATGCTTTTAAGATTCACCCACTGTTGCATTTATTGATAGTTTGTTCCCTTTTATTGTGGTATAGTACTCCACTGAATGAATATACCACATTTGCTTATCCATTCACCCGTTTACAGACATTTGGGTTGTTTCCAGTTTGGCATGACAATGAATAAAACTGCTATGAACATTTGTCTGCAAGTCTTTTTGTGGACATTTTTTTCCCTTTAATCTCTTAGATACTTATCTAGGAATGGAATTGTGGGTCACATATTTAATTTTATAAGAAACTGCTAAACTGTTTGACAAAGTGGCTGAGCCATTTTACATTCCCATTGAGAATTCCTGTTGTCAACACAGTATTTTGCACACCCACAAGTGCATGCTGTATGGTTCCATTTACATGAAGTTCCACAGCATGTAAAATTAATCTACAGTTACAGAAGTCACTCAGTGGTGGCCTGTTTGTGGGGATGAGGTGCATTTGACTGCAGAGAAGCACAAGGAGTGCTGGCCTTGATGAGAGTAGTGGTTATTCAAGTGGAGAAATTGATTAAAACTCACTGAACTGGATATTTAAAATGGGTTTATTTTATTGTGTGGAAATTATACCTAAATAAAGTTGATTTGATATGCTATCTTTAACAATAACAAAAGCATTCCTGAATTAATAAAAATTTCTAGTCATTATATATTTTCTCAATCAGTGGATTCTAAAAGAGCATCTCATCTTTGGGGACATCTGTACATTTCTAGACATGATCAAATGGTCCTGTAACTTGGAAAGGTTGAGCACGGTCTAGGTGTGTTCTGAAGTCCTTCCAGCTCCAATGCTCCAGATCTTTTACACTGCCTGACAGATTAGTCTAAGATGCTGTCATTAAATTGCCTAGATTCCATTCTTCTTTTCCACGATCCTCCCTGAGGCCAATCAGCTCCCCTGCTCTGGCTGGCGATGCTGCGTCATCACCATGACACCGGTACAGCGTGACCCTGAGCCACTTTTCTCCGCACCGCCCTCTCCAGCGTGGCTAACAGATGGGTCTGTTTCTAGAGTAGCAGTTCTTGCAGGAGGCACTCTCTGCTCAAAATTAGGAATTAAGTCGGCACAGAGACTGGCAACCAGCCGTGAGGGCTTTCTGGGTTTGTTTTCTTCTCAGAGCAGTCATTCACAATTTCAAGTGATTCATTGCTTTTTGGTTCTGAAAGATTGAAAACGCGGAGTGGAGCAAATGATTAATTCACTGTTACTACTGTACAACGATTACTAAAGCACCTTATGCCAACTTAGCACTTTTCTCTCGCTTGAGATACTCTGGAGTCCAGAGCTTCAAGGTCAAAACAGCTGTAAGAAATGGAAGTGATGAAGGTTGGAATTTGGTGACGGCCTTTGAGCTGTTCCCGATGTTCTGAAACGCTGAGCCCTAAGTCAGGTTTCCTTTAGTGGCCCCTGATTTCTGCCACTGTTTTCTCTGAGCTCTCCCCTCATCTGATCTTAGCCTGGCCTCTCCCATTAAGCCTAATAAGCCCAAGGTGGCTGAGGTGGTAGCGGGGCCCAGAGGTCCTTGAACTGCAGCACACTGGTCAATATGGGGTGAGAATGGGGGATGGAGGAGAGCATGGCCCTCTCTCCACACCCACACTACTCAGATTTCCATTCAGTCAGCTGTCAAGTGGGTAAAAACGAAAGCAAAATATCAGCAGCCAACACTTACTGGTCATATAATCCTCACAATAACCCCATCAATATGTTGCTGTCATTATCCGTATTTACATTCCTCGCCTGAGGAAACTGAGATTTAGAGGGATCAAGCGGCTTGTTTAAGATCGCATAATATTGGAACTGGGGTGCTAATTCCAGAGGCCGAGAACTTTTTATCCTGTTCAGGAATGGACAAATCCAGAATCTGAAAGCATCACGAATCTGACATGGAACAAAAGCACATTAGTAATCAGTTATCAACACTTCCTGATTTTCTAGAGGTCTTCTGGAATTGACGGTTAACTCCAGGCCTTCTACAGAACTTTCCCCCCCCACTCCCGGAGTGGCTGTACTTAGGGTCGCTGCATCATCTTGTGGTCATGACAGGAACTGCATCTTCTCAGGAACCCCAGAGTCCCGGCTCACACTACCAGGGTTTTCTCAGAGCATAAAAACACCGTCAGTCCGAATGAAATCCTAGAGGAAAAATCCTGTACGACCCTGGCTTGACGCAGTTGGCTGGCTCATCTCCAGAGGTGGGAGAAAGAAGCCTTTCATTTCCCTTTCTCAGATTCCCACCTACCTCCGCTGAAGCTCCTTTTAAGAGCTCCATGCAGAGAGTCAGCTCTCCAGCACGGTCTGGAGTTCCTCTCTCTGCCCGATTTCTTTCTTAACCCTCTTCACTCCATGCTCACCCTGCCATGTAATGTTGGTCGATAGTTTTCTTTCCACGTTATTCTCTGTGGGCAGAGGAAATGCGGAATCTTTGAATTAATGTGCCTCAAGAGTTTCATCTTCGCTATTTCAGCTGAACTGATCTTATCTCTGCCATATTAAAATCTATATGACCTGGGCAATTCACGTAACTCAGTGAGTCTGTTTTGCAAAATGGAGATATGAATATGACAAGGATTTTTGCGATGATTAAATGAAATGTTGAATTTAAAGGCATGTTGTAAACTGAACTAAATATGCAAATATAGTTATTATCAGCAATCATTTCTCCCTTACGACTGACAGCAAGAGATAATGCCGTGTCTAGGCAGTGCATCTCACACTCTCTTCCTCTTTACATACGTGGAACATGGATCACCACAAGAGGTGACGGCAAGTTGTCTGTGTGTTGAGGGGTGGGGGTGGGAGGAAAGGTAAGACAGCTTCCATAACTAGGAGGAAGACCAGGATCATTGTTTCATAATCAGATAGAGGGTAGAGGGCATGCCACCTCCCACTTTGTTTAGGGATCCTAAAATGTTTTTTTACAACATTGCTACTTTCCAGTGCATGGAGTTTTAGGGTTTATAAGGCTCTTTCTACTTATGATCACATTTAATCTTCATGATTGTCCTGAGAGAGGTGTGATAATACCTTTTGCCTGTTCTGCAGATGAAGAACTAATGATCAGAGAGGTGAAATAATTTTCAGAAGTTTACAGGGTGGTAAAGCTGAGTTCACAATGTGGATCTTCTGATTTTTGATTAGTGCTCCTTCATTACCACTTATGAGGTTATCTCTTCCTAACATAGAACAGGGGCTTCCAAATTTTCTGGATCATGAGCCACAGTAAGAGACTCATTCTGAAGAGTATACACTTATGTGTACAGCTGAAATGGAGGCACGGAGGACCTACAGTTACCCTATGTACTGGGTACCCTATTTTGCCATAGTCATTAAAGAAATGCTATTCACAGCTCATTAGATCTATTCATAATCCACTAGTAGATTGAGACCTATGGTTTGGAAAACTGTCATCTAGAAGCTTCTCAAACAATCCCACAGGACATGTGACCATTACAACTGCCCTTGATATCCAATGGATATTATGAATCTGAGGGAATGAAGAGAAAAAGATGAACTCTGGAAGTTTCACCACTTAGAACATACTGTCTAATGGGTTAAACAAATTAACTCTTAGAATAGGAAAATTTGAAATACAGTTTTAAAACTCTAAAATAACTGCATTACAGTTAGTGTGTTTCTACCACATCATGAATACAGTATTTATTACTCATAATTACTACTGCCTCTTTACACATCAGTGTCCACTCAACCAGTTTCCAACTTTGAAGCAACGGGCTATGCCTTAATCTCAGGGCATTGAGCATTGTGCTGGATGAGTGCTCAATAAATATTGCTTCACTTAATAAATAAAGAAAACATGAATAGCAACTGTCCCAATTTCTCATTACTCTCACTATTGACAGTAACTTTAAGTTCAAAAGGCAATGACTTGGTTTATATAAAACCCATGTGTTAAAAATTACTACAAGCTTCATCCTTGTATTGGCAGTACCCTGGGAAACCCAGGGTCTGAATAGATGGCAAAGTCAAAAAGAAAGAAGGATGAACATGGTTCGTATTGGTCCATTCATTTCTACAATCTAGCACCCTGCAGAGTGGGTATGTGCCCTTCAAATAAATGCCACTTTTGTTTCTTTTCCTTTGGTGACTTGACTATCCCCTAATTTAGTGGAAGCGTATAGGCCTTAAATATGATTCTGACCTATGCCACCAAATTGTAATGAAAGAGTATGAACTTTGGCTCATTGCTACATTAGAAATGAAAGGCTGTGGTGGCTTTCACAGTTCTCCCTGTAAGCACTGGTAGTTCCCTGAGCTATGAGTCCTTGCCACAATGCCAGGGTACATTTGATGACAGCCAGGACCACACACCCAGATGACCCCAGAGAGAAGGTCTGTGCAGCCAGAAGCAACAGGACAAGACTTCAGGTCCACATGGCTGTCTTGCCTGTGGGTTCCCACTGATAGAAGTGTAGCATCTCTCCCGGATAGTCAAGCAGAAGACTCACTGTCCCCGGGGACCAAGAACAAGTCCAGCCCCCCTGCCTGATGGACTGGTGTGTGAAACAGCAACTCTTCATGTCACTGCCTCTGGAAGGGCAGGAGACTACATCAGTGCCTGTTCTCTGTGGAGAGAGAGTGCCTGTACAACCTCCACTGTTACACATGCTGAATGATGCTCGGAGAGATGCACTAAGGATAGTGTTGGATCAGTGCCATCCTTTTGTTTTTCTCTTTGAAATGAATTGGGAAAAAAAGGTTGCTTTGTAGTCCTCAGGGTTTTTCTTTGTGAATAGTCAATAGTGAAGCTGCCAATAACAGAAGACCAATATATAAAACACAGTTCATATTTACACGGCAATTTAAAAAAGAATGTCACAATGTTTACTAGATACAGCAGTAGTACCTTATGACATAGAAATGCTTTTGAAAAAATGTGATTGAATATAATCATTTAAATATATGTGAAAAGAATATGAGCTTTGGGTTCCGGCAGAGCTGGGTTTGAATGGCAGCTCTGGCCCTTTCTAATCTTCATGACAGGGAAAGTTAAATGTATAATCTCCCTGATTCTCAATCTCTTCATATCAAGATGGGAAAATAACACTGTATAGAACTGCTGTGATGATTAAGTAAAAGTGTAGTCAGTTAATTTATA